CCTGCATGGGCCTGGGATGGCACTGGCAACCTCCTGGTGCAGGGCAAGTTGCCCACCAACCGAGCCACCCCAGCCAGGACAATCAAGGCGATTTTTATGAGCTATACTCTCCCCTATCGCCACTCTCATCCTTTGAGAATCGGACTGGCTGAACAACACCACACCTCCTCAAGTGTGCCGCCATCAGCCAGACCCCGGGGAGGGGGTGGCACACCGGTGCGCAGAGCAGAAGCAGAAGCAGAAGCAGGCGGGCCCTCTCCACCTAACAGGGCCGCCGTGAGGTTGCCGGAGAGGAGGTGTGAAAGTGACAGCCGGGCTGCTGTGGCCTCAGAGCCCCCGCTGCTTCCACCTGAACAGTCTGCCACCCACCTGACTGCTGACCAGCTGGAGAAGCTGCTGGAAGCGGGCGTCCTGCACGACCCAGGCTTTGTCCTCTGGCCTCTCGGACAGCAGGCGAGAGAGCCTGATGACCACGAGGGCCGCCTGGTCCTGCTGCAGGCCGTGGCCACCGCCCAGCAGCTCCAGGAGCTCCTCCGGCCCAGTGGCCTTCCTGATGAGCTCGTCCACCTCCTGGCGCTCCGGGTAGGGGGGGATCGACTGCTCCTTCTCCAGGGGCTGCGACGAGGAGACCGGGAAGTGGGAACTGGGTGAGGTAGCTGAGGAAGTCAGAGTCTTACGAGCCACCCTGGCCAGGCTCAGGCGGCCAGCCGGGGGCCCGGCAGGGGCCAGGTGGGCGGCCTCTCTCAGGAGGCAGGCGCATCGCTTCACCAGGCGACCTGCCATGACGGCCGGGCGGCAGGGGGGCGGCACTCCTAGCAAGTCATTCCAAGGCCCTGAGGGAAGAGAGCAGGGGTTGGTGTGCAGACAGGAGAACGTGACAGGGAGATGGGGGCACAGGCACGCGCTCCACACTCAGCCCACACGTCCTGGCCCTCCCGTACCCAGGACAGCACCTCCTGAAGCAAAGACCTCAGAGGTCACCCAAACGCCACAACAGGGGCGCACGCAGGCGGCTGGGGGCGTTTCAGTCCTGATTGTGCTTAATCAGATCAGTCACCCCTCACTCGCTCAGGAACCAGAAGGGCCGGACGATTTGTTTTCAAATGTTAAGTGTCTTCAGGATTAAGAATGAAGAGAGACGACGAGGTAAGATGTTTTCAATCACTTTCTCCTGAGCGTTCCTGGGCACAGAATCCACATCCCACAGCGTCTGCGGGTCACTTTAATACTTAGAGACACAGAGCGAGCTTCCCCAAGTCTGCACCGACCTACTCAAAACATGGACACAGCCCGGCAGGCGTGGCTCCGGCGTGGCTCACTGGTTGAGCATCGACCTATGAACCCGGAGCTCACGGCTCCATTCCCGCCAGGGCACATGCTCTGGGCTGCAGGCCGGATCCCCAGGAGGGGCGCAGGAGGCAGCCCGTCAGTGATCCGCTCTCATCACCGATGTCTCTCTCTCTCTCCCTCCCCCTTCCTCTCTGAAAGCAATAATAATAATAATAATAATAAGTTAAACTCCTAAACCAATCGCAACGGGCACTCCACAGGCTTAGAACTCCCTCCCAGCAACACGCCGCTCATCCGGAGCGGGCCCTGCGCCCTCCTGGCACTGGGTCCCCGGCCTCCCTCCCACCGCAGGGCCCAGACCAAAGTTCCCTCCTCCGAGAAGCTGCTGTAAACCCCAACTACGGTGCTAACCGGCCCCCGAGTGACCCGGGTAAGGCAGGTGCCCCAGGCGCTAAACCGCAGCCTGGGCCTCCCGCCCAGCACGGAGCCTGCCCGTTCGATCTGCGTCCCCGGACCCGGATGTGGCCGCTATATTCTGCTTTTACGTGGCGGGTTCCTGCAGCGTCGACCTGTGACCCAGGAGGTCAGGGCTCGACTTCCGTCGGGGCTCCGTCCCCAGTGCGGGGCGCGCAGGGGGCGGCCGATCCGCGATCCCCTCTCCCCATGGGCGTTTCTCTCTCCCCCTTCCTCTCTGAAATCAGTAAGAACAGTAATAATAAACAAAAACCTCGGCCTGACTTACAGAGAGGCCCAGGGAGGGCGGATCCCGGCC